CATTCCCGGATATCCCAAAACAGTTGAGAATTATTTGGTTGGAAGTAATGGCAATATTTATGCCATGAAAGTGTTGTGAATATAAAATGGATTTTGAAACTTTTAATGAATTTGCATCTCATTGATTTACAATATTGAAGTAAATACTAAAAGTAAATTAAATAAATTACATTTTAATTTGCATTAAATTTACGAACATTTTGTCCGTAAAAATATATTATAAAAATATAAACAGTGAAAGGAATTGAAAGAATATTTTGTTAAGTAAGAATTCTTAAGGAATATACACATTATTGACATAAATATGAAAATACAAAAAATATTTAACAAATAAATGATAACATTATAAAGCAAAACAACATTTAGATTTGAGTGCAAACTAAAGAATTGCTTTCAAATGCATATAAATTATACAATTTATAATTTTCAATAAATAATTACAAAGAGATAACAATTAAGTCATTTTAAGATAAATCATTAAAAACGTTTGCGGCACAAATGAATTGTATACAATTTAAATATTTACTAAATATCTGCCAATCGGATCCGACCCGGAGTTCATCACAAATGCCTATCCTTTTGGCAATTTTATAAACAAATGAGTCGTTGTGTTGAGTGCCGACAATAGCCCACAATTCGTTGCAATTATTAACACTAATCTTATGGACACAATCGTCTACTTTCTTCCAATGGGTTCCCTCCGGAAAAGTGGGAACTATTTCTTCCCGAAACCAAAGTCTGAACTTCTCATCGATGGCCCAGACGCTCGACTTTCCGACACAAACCCGTTTGAGTGGACACTGAGGTCGGGGCGACTCGATGTGAAACCAGACGGTGCCGGCCGGAGACGTGCGACTGATTCCGTGCCTTAAGAACGCGGATCCATCCCTAGCTGTGGCCCAAACTTGAATGAAAGTGTCATTTCCGCCGACACTTATGTCAACAAAGGGCTGTTCGCACGACACGTGTTGCCAGGAGAGACCGCGCGGACACAGAGGGCTCACTCCTAACCGACACAAAGCGTCGCCGTCTCCCGAAACGGCCCACGCGTTGAGTATTACTTCTTCATTGGGTTTGATATCACATTTTGAACAATAAATGGATGCACTAATTATAGAGGCCCCGGGAATGTCAGTCCAGGGGCCGGTTGTCGTGAATCGGCACTTGCGAAACCATCGTCTTCTGCGGACATAATCTGTAAACTTTCGGTCCGAATGATAGTCAAATGGAAAGTCGATGGAGTACTGCCAGCCCTCCGAGTCTACGCCATCGGGCAGTGAGAAATCGACGCTCCAGTCATTCATCCATTGCCACTGTTTTGACGGCAGTTTGATGTTGTCTTTAATTAACTCATGCTTTCCGGTCTCATCGCTCCACATATACCGATCAGTGGGCAGTCCTTCAAACAATTTATATAATTAGTATTTCATAAATAAACAGTTTAGTTTTATTTAAAAACTTTACCTTTTGGTGCAAAACCTGACAATGGATTCCACCGTTGGTTTTCATAGCAGTAAAAAGACATCGTATCTGACATGGGATTGCAATTGCTGTTAACACCAGTTATGTCTTTATAAACTCCACCTCCTGATCCATTATTATGAACAAACAAGACATGGTCGTACGAAAGTGCCCAGACAACACCCAAACAAGCGGTCACTGAATTGAAATGACCACCACTTAGGAGATAGT